ATGCAGCAGCAGCAGCAGAAGTTAGTAGAAGAATAGCACTACAGGTAGCAGCAGCAGGAGGACATCTTGCAGTTGTTGAGCGGCTGCTTCAAGAGGAGGCTGATGTTAATGCAGCAGGAGCAATATCTTGTAGAAGAACAGCACTAAAGGCTGCAGCAGCAAAAAATCACCAAACAGTCGTAGAATATCTCCGTGAAGCAGGTGCGAGAAAATAAGGCATTTATTTTTGGCTATACGGTTTGAGGTTTTCTTCTAATATATAAATAATCTACTACAGTTGTACCTACCTTATTATTGCATAACAGTAGATCTAATCTTTTCGTCTAATTAATTGTGTTTATAGCGCTCTAGAGGTATGTGTAACGAGCTACTGCACAGACTGAAGCTTCTAGTAAGCTTAAAGATTTGTTATCTTCCAGTTCCATGAAAACGCATGAACACTTCGATCACGCTATCAGCGAGGACGGCCGACCCGCTCGTCGCTTGAAGTCGAAGTACCCCTCGTATTTTCCGGCACGGCGGGTTTTCCGGCACGCGAGGAGGGACGTTAACATGACAGGAGTTCCTTGTTAGATGCCACTGCCTCACTTCCAACCGAAAGTGGGGCAGTGTCTTTCTCTTTTCGTGAATTTGGGATCTAGAAAAGCAAGGATTGCGACTTATTCTTGTACGATTTAAATTTGGGCATCTTAGCTACTCAGCCCTCTTATATAGAGTGTGTCAGTGTATTATCAAACGTGTTCACTTGTAAAGAGTCAGTTAAGGCAGAGATATGATTCCATTATTGTCCTCTAGAAAATATATCATCTAGTTTCTAATTTCTGCAGATCTCTAGGATTACTGGTATCGTATTCGTCGCAACGGCAACACAAACCTTGTCCAAATCCTCAGAATTCCAACGCCAAGTCTACCTGTTCAGTCTCGCTCTACTCTTCATCCACGACGCGGGTACGCATACTCGTCATCATTCACTTCATCATAGCCATATGGGTGCTCAAGGGCCGCGCGGCTGTAGGATTGATTGTCGCCTTGCGATCGAGCCCAAGCTTCACCCTGACTGCCATACGCTTGCCTAGAGGAACCGTGATCCCGACCTCCAAAGGAGCCCTGGCCTTGATATCTATCACTAGCGCCTCGAACTTGGAGCCCCAGAACTGCACTAGAGCCACGGGTGGCACCAGTTCCATATCCACGAGGGGACTGGGAGGTTGAGGCACGGCCACCATGCTCTCCAGGACGCACATCACGAACGTTGGACTCACGTGGCGCGGACGTATGTCTACCTTGGCCACTACCATTTCCATACCCACGATCGCGATCGCGCTCTCGCTGATCATGTGCATGGTCCTCTTGCAAGTTGCGGATGCGGCTGAATGGGGCACCGGACCATCCATTGTTGCGGCCATCGCCCATCCCGTGGGTCTGGGGCAATCTACCGAACTGATCGCGAGTTGTCATGTTGGGGAAGGGGGACTCGCGGTCTACTTCGTATTCTTCTGCGGCAATGCGGCCTACCTCGTGTCGGGCGTACTGCCGGGCATCGCCCTCGGAGTAGCCGTGGGCGCGGGACGATCGGGCTAGAGCGCGTTCGTAGTCGGAAGGCATTTTTGTAGTTTTGTAAATTATGGGTACTTACTACCTGAGTACTGATTCTGAGGGTGGGTTGCTGACTACCTGAGTATTGATTCTGAAGGTGGGTTGCTGACTACCTGAGTACTGATGCTGAGAGTGGGTTGGAAGGAGAGAAGGGGGAGAACGGGGAGGGGTTTATATAGGGATTGGGAGCTGTCATTGTTGCTGAACAATGTAGATTTCATACAAGTAGCATAAAGATAATTGTGAACACACTCGGTAAATCTCATTGTGTATGAAACAGGATAATGTTTGCTAGTGGGATGAAAGTGGTTGACAAAGAGTGCATTGTAAGCATGTTGAAAGGAGGTTCAGTGGGTGGCGTGAAAGGATGTCAGTGTAGTCGTTTGAACGTTTCGATATGGAGATCTTCAAGGTTTTGCTAGCGCGAAGGAAAGGGAAGAGAAAGGGTACAGAGTAGGGCCACCTCCCGTCGAGCACTGCCTCAAATCTCGTATTCGTTTCTTGGGCCCGCAATCGTCAACTTGCCCTGCGGCCCACCTGCGACCCAGAAACTACTCGCGTATCTCCCGTCCAGATGCTCGTATGGCTTACCAGGTAGCTCCCGCAAGGCGTTAGCCTCTTCCTTCCCATATTCCACCTCTCTAAGAAAACCTCAGGAGCCGGCGTGGGCTACGTAACAAGAGATAGAGGAAAATCAAGGTACTAAATCATGGTTCAAGAAGAGGTTGGACAGCCTCGGGAGCGAAGTGGGGCCGTACCAGGCTTCGGTGAGAAAATCTCGGGCTTCAATAACCACGTGTCTCTGTCATGTCATACGAACCTGCACTGTAAGTCCCCGATGCACGTTAATCATCTGTACTACAGACTGTTCCAGAACTTGTGGAATTGACGAGGATCATGATGATGTGCATGTTGGCATTTCCCCAAAATACGGTACTCGATCTCACCCGTTCTTCTGCATGCTGCAAGTTCATCACGTCACACAAAGATTATCATAGATAAGAGACGTGGCTTTAAAGTTACTCCAAACTCAATTGTGGTATCCGTTATTAAATCCAGCATTACCGAATAATTTACCCACATTATTGCACCATTATCATTGAAACATTAAAGGACGCTCGTGGCCCTTATCCTCGTCATTTTCTCACATCCAACCTAAGCCCATGCCTGCGGCTCCAATTAGCCATCTCTCCACTTCTCCAAGCATATTGTCCCCTCTCGCACGCACTGCCGCACCCGTGAATTCTGGGGCCCCACTCGTTGTTGGTGGCGGTGCTGCAGATGTGCCGTTCGCAGAAGTAGTGGTCGAAGGCGTAACTGTAGTCCCTCTCGACGAAATAATCGAGCTCACTGGTGGAGGGGGTGGTGTACCTGATGTAGGCTCCGCGGTGCTGGTCTCCGGAATGGATTCCGGCGCGGAGGATGGTGGGGGACCTTCAGATGTGGAGTCAGCAGCGCTGCTTGAAGGTGGTGCACTACTTTCTGGGGCAGAGGTACTAGTGGGTAGAGCGACTGAGCTGGTGGGCTCAGGAGCCTCGCTAGTAGATAGGGGAGCCTCACTACTAGATACAGGAGCTGAGCTGCTGGGCTCAGGTGCCGAGCTGCTTGGTTCTGGGAGAACACTATTAGAAGGAATGGGGATAATACTTGAGCTTGGTTCAGGTATCAAGGTGCTAGACGGTTCCGGTACACTTGAAGGCTCCGGAGTACTCGATGGTGGGGGAGTGCTCGATGGTGGGGGAGTGCTCGATGGTGGGGGAGTGCTCGAT